CGGCGCCCCGCGGGTGGGGAGGCCGAGGGGCCGGCTGGGGGGCTCGGGGTGGCAGGTCGGGAGCTTCCGCAAGGCTTTTCTCGCCTTTTTCCTGAGGAAAAGGCTTCTAAGAGGTGTAACTTCGCCGGCTAGTCGTTAATTCTGCGAACAAACCAATGAATAACTTCGGAAACTTTATGCTGACACCTTAGGAATTAACGCTGTTATAGTGACGGGATTTAGGAGGGAAAAAGAAAAAGGCTTTATATTGCAGTTTTTAACTAATTCACGTTTTAAAAGGTGCATTAAAGTCCCGGCTAAGACTCCTCACACACTTTATTGTACTGTAAAACACCTGTGTAAATGCAGACCGTCAAGTCAAACTTGTACTATTTAATAGTCCTACTAATTAACAAGAGAAGCCTGTTTTACCGGTGTAAAGAGCAGAAAAAGTTATGGGCTGTTCATAACGAGATGCTCTTGTCTTTTATTTGGAGGGGAGGTGTTTTGTTTTTTTTTCTGGCAAGAGGGTAGTAGTTGCTAGGCTGTCAGTTTCAGCTTGATACATATTTCTGTGGTTGATAAACAATTGATCAGCCTCTGTCAGGTTTAGGATTCTTTTTTAAAGTTTCCTGAGCTTTATTTTATTTTATTTTTTTCCTTCTCTAATTGGCGGTAGATTAATATTTCTGTGCTGTGGGAAGTAACTGGTAGTGCATCTTTTTATCTTCCTTTAAGAAGCCATAACTTTTGCTTTTTGTTTCTTTTGTCATTACTTTTTTCCTTCTTGGTAATATAACTTAGGAAGTTTATGCCTAAGACTGGACCGTTAAGTATCTTAACAATAAAATCAGTCTTGGTGTTCAAATTTCATATGTAACTTTCTAGAACTTAAATAATTGATCGGGGCTGAGGCTTATTGTCGTGGTCGATTTTTGTTAGTGTTGTGTGGTTAAAAAATAAGAAAAACTCCATTGCTCAATTTATTGATGACCCAAGGTACACGATGGTCTCTGATTCATGCTTGCCAGGAAGCCAAAAGCACAGGGGTGTGGAAGACTAATTTGTGGGATTCAAAATAAGAGTTGTATAGTAGCTAAATAATGACACTACTGTTGTTTTTTGACTGTTCTTCCTGGATGCTTTTTATCCAGCCGCAGGGAAATCGACATTTGTGAATATTCTTAAACAGGCTGATGAGGAATGGGAAGTGGTTCCCGAGCCTGTAGCTCGGTGGTGCAACGTTCAGCAAAGCTCTGAAGGGGATTGCAAGGTATGGTGAAAGAACTGGAGGTGAGAGTTTTTAAACTCACACTTGCCGGAGTAAAAAGAGTATGGATTTTTCTACAATGTTGTTGATTTTTTGCACTGATGGGATGTTGTTCTTTTATTAAAGCTTGCGTGTAATAATCAAAGTGTTTTGGTACTTGAGTGTTTTGACAGTGTAGATTGCAGAGTTGCTTATTCAGCTCTGTACTGCAGGAGGAATAAGATGACTGATGTTTATGCCTGCTATTACAAACAGGGTTGAGAGGTAAATGGTGCAGCTGTAAACTTAAAATCAAGGCTGAACAGCATTAGCATAGTAAACAATTCAGTTTTACCTGAATTGTTCACCTTCTCAATGTGTGTATCTGTCTAAAACTAGGAGCTGAGCCCATCACAGAGGAGTGGAGGGAACGTGCTTCAGAGGATGTATGAGAAGCCAGAGAGGTGGTCCTTCACTTTCCAGACATACGCCTGTCTCAGCAGGATCCGGGCTCAGCTCAGAGCCCTTGATGGCAAACTGAGAGAGGCAGAGAACCCTGTGGTCTTCTTTGAGCGATCTGTCTACAGTGACAGGTATATTGGACTGAAGTCCTCTAAGTGAAGATCAAAATTATCCTAACAAATACAAAGCAGAGGGTGTCTCCTTTTGTTACAAATTTGATACTGGTGAATCACAACAGCTGCAATGGATGCAGTTACCGGATGGGGACGCTAGCTGGTGATTTCCAGTCCAAGCATGCATCAGAGAAGTTACGGAATTACTCTGCTCAGCTTCTTCTCTAGTTACTGGGCAAACCAAGTTCTCTAGTTTTCTAGTTACTCAGGCAAACCAAGTGAAAATTGTGTTCCAACTGGTTTTTGTTACTGGAACTATTTTGTGTTCACAGATACATCTTTGCAGCTAATTTATATGAGTCTGATTGCATGAATGAAACCGAGTGGACTATTTACCAAGACTGGCATGACTGGATGAACACACATTTAGGTCAAAGCTTAACGCTGGACGGGATAATTTATCTCAGAGCCACTCCTGAGGTAAGGAATAAAAACTTATGGCTGCACAGATTATCTTCTGTGCCTTGCCTGTAAAATTTGACCTTTGGTTATGCTTCTGCTGTTTTGAATTTTTTTTTTCTATTAAAAAGGAGGGTTTAACTATGATTGTAGACCTTTTTTGTGATAGAAGGAGAATACCCTCTCAGTCAATTCCAGTAAGGTCACAATTGTGTGTCATTGCATATCAGTGTATCTTTGTCTCAGGGATTGCTTTGGATGTCTCAGGAACTGCTGAGAAATTGTGGAAATGTAGTTTCTCAAGATGTTGAGCTACCCTTAGCTTTCACTGTAAGAGTCCTAATGATGAGAGTTTGGTTCAGATGGTATCAGATGGCTTCAGATTCCCTGAAGACTGTAATATGTGAATTATGACTAATACAGTCTGGAAATACTTTAGAAAAAATTCTTTCAAATGTAGCCTGTATCTTTTTAAATACAATGTGACAATAATGATTTTCTAATTTAAAAAAAAACAAAGAAATGACTAGAGCAAACCAGAAAATACCCCTGGAACAACAACAAAAAGTAGCTAAAGGAACATTGCTGTGATAGATACACCAATTACTAGTTAATGTCACAGCTGATTTGGGGAGGTGAAGCCCTTTCACCTGCAACAATGGAGCTAAGCCAGATGATGCACCTACTGTATATGAGGCTTTAGGACAATGCTTTGCTCTTTGGGCATCTTAATATTTTTTTAAAGGAACAGTATCATGAATACCTCTTTGAGTATGAAACTTAAGTAGACAAGAAAAAACGAGTTTAGAAAAGCTCTAGCTGCAGTAATTAACTCACAAGTGACTTTCATACTTTCTTACTTCCAACTTCCGTGCTTTTGACTTTGTTGTAAGGTCGCATACTAGGGTTTCTCTGAGGGCTTTTTTTTTCTCTCTCCCTTTAAGTCAAGAATGTGTATTTAAATTACAAAGTACCACAGTTGTAAATAGTTTTGATTGGCTTGTTATTGAGGCTTTGGGTGTATTCAGGACAGGAACAAACAATTGGATACTTTTGAAAACTGGATTCCTTAAGACCCAGAAATACATAATGAGATTGTGAAAGCCTGTGCATAATGTCAAATTAGTATTTCTGTGCTCTTTTGATGCAACACACTGGTACCCCCTCTTTTAATAAGGAGCTCATGTGAGGGTTTTTCTTGTAGCAGAGAAAACATCTGATGCTTTTCCTTAGGTCCTCTTTGGATCTTGCGTGCCGTCTGTGGGCTCCATCAGCCGAATGTGGCATGTTTCTGTGCTCATCGGATAGTTAGCAAGGTGGATCTTTGGCAAGAGAGGCATATTGAGCAAGGGTTGGCCAACAAAGCCTTCAGCAGGTTAGGCTTCCTCTGTAAAAAACAAATGTTTGGGTTTTTAAAATTTATTTATTTTTTAATATCTTTTGCCTTTAGAAATGTTTAAATAGGATTTACTTGCGTGGAAGAGATGAAGAGCAAGAAATTCCCATTGAATATCTGGAGAAGCTTCATTACAAACACGAAAGTTGGCTTCAGCATAGGACGCTGCGGTAGGGTTTGTTTAATGTTTAGTTAAAGATGGGTAAATCTCTGTAGGGATGTTCCATAATGCTTTTCTTATGAGTGAAGCTCTAGGCATATTTCTGCCTATTCTTTCTGAGTAGTATTGGCCTTAAAGCATATTAATTTTTGCTAGGGTGTGCAGTGTGCCTTTAGTTCTCTTCACATAGAACTCTGAGTAGCAGAGGGTTAAGCTGAACTAATTCTAATACATGGCTGAGCTTAACTTCAGGGGTTGGGAGAACAGAATGTTCAAAAATCCATAATATATCCTGGGAGGCACATTGTAAGTTCAAGCTGCTTTATATTCAGAATTCATGGCTGTCACATACGCAGCTCTTTTCATGAGGTTCTTAACAGTGAATATGCTGACAGAGGCTCAAATAATGTATCCTTTTTTCAGCTAGTAATATTTTCTTTGTTCCTATATCAATACAGAACAGATTTTAAATATCTACAAGAAATACCTATTCTAACCTTAGATGTGAATGAAGACTTCAAAGGCAAAAAGGACAGATATGATCACATGACTGAAAAGGTAACATTTCACAAGCAGAACAAACTTATGATTTAGATTTATTGCCAGTGCATCAAGATTAATTCAGGATACTTCTTGCATCTCAAAGTGTAGCATTTTTTAAAATCAGACTAGACTTAGAGCCTGTGGTTCCTCATGTTTTTTACACAGATTTTCCATGGGGGTCGACGGGCAAGGGAAGGAAATATTCCAGGCTTATTTGAGAAGTTTTTGACTAGTAGCTTTTTTTGGCAAATATTTCTAATTTAATTAACAATTCTTTGAAACACTTGAGGGATATTTGCTATATCCTTCTTCTAACAATGTGCAGCTATCCTAAGAAATGTGATGGATGTGGGAGAGGATGATTGGAGCTGTTGAGGGACAGAGGAGGAAGGGAACACAGAACCGAGTAGGATGTCTGTCCTAAAGTCATATTTGTATTAGATGTGACATTGTCTAACCTGCAGTGCTAGTTATTAAAAGAACTTTAGTGCCAGGTACTGTGAAAATACAGTACAAAACCATTATAACAGAGAATTGAAGGAAGAGTTTACTGAACCTGCAGCTGAATTCTGATCCAAAGCAATGAGCCAATGGCAAACCATTTTAGGTTTTGCAGGTACAGGGTGTCTCTTTTCTGGTTGGCATGTTACAGCAATGGACAGTACGAATATGCAAATAGGGATATAAGACAGCAGTCTTATAGCCTACTGCAATGTTCATTCTTTTTAGTCTTGTCTACAAAATTTGCACTATCATTTAAGTATTTCCCTTCAGTTGCATTTAGTAAAATGTTACTCAAAATCCTGCTCAAAAGCAGTGGTCTTCAGGGAGTAATTTTAAAATGTAGCTTTTAGTTTTGTTCAGGAGCTAATACCAAATATGTATCAGAAGTATTTATTTGAAGGCATGGAAAAAAAATGTCAATTTGATATAAAAATAAGTCAAGTTGAGGTTTCTGTTTGCATGAAGATGATCTAATCCTTAGCACAGAAAATTGTTATATATATTTTAAAGCTAGTCCAAACCATCAACATTAACTGCTCAGGTATTGCTACTTGAATCTTGGTGGGATTTAGTTGAGGACAATTTGACTTACTTGAGTAGTTGCAATGAGTTCCAGACCTTAGCAATGGTATGTGCAGATTTTTCCACTTTTCGGTAGGAAATCGTTTACCTCACAAGAAAAGCAGCTTTGTCCTTTTATCTCAGTTTATCCACAGAGAAGCAGAACTGTTCACCTGATTAAAACCAGCCTTCCTAATCTTTGCTCTTTTAAGGCTTGGTGGTGTTGGAATGACTGGATGTTGCAGCTGCGGAGTGAATATGCTTCCCATCTGCTCCCTGAGCTAGGCCAAACTTGGGCACCTAAACAGGGGTTTTGGAGGAGTTTGCCCTTGTGTAGCTATCAGGTTATCTGGGAACAGCCTCAGCCCAGTGCTGGCTTAATTTTTTGGCAGTTCCTAAGTAGAGTGCCTGAACTGCTCCATTATTGAGGCTGGGTGCTTTGGCATTTAGGGTATGCTTGTGTCCAGTGGGGACCCAAACCCTGCATGCTTCCTTTTCACCTCTGTTGTGATGCTGAAACTATGCCTAGAGTGTTCATGGTAACAAGATTCACTGTGCAGTATCACTGGTGCTGCTTTATAAAGTGGAGGGTGGCTTGCTCCTGATACTTTTCAAGTATGAGTATTGTTCCCTTCTCTGTGAAGAGATTTGACCACCTGTTTTATTTTCACTGCCCTGAACTAGGAAGGGAAGGGTTGCAGCTGGAGAATGTGATTCAAGATCTGTTTTCATTACGCATCAAGAATTTGGACAAAACTATTACAGATGCTACAGATGCACTCTGTGTATGTGGGCTTCTGCCAAAAGGATAACACTGTACTCCAGTGAATTGTTGGTTCTTTTCTGTGCTTCTGTCTAGCTTGAGTGGACTGAGAGGGAACTGCTCCCATTCAGCCTATATCACAGCGCAGGTGCTGGGATGCTCTTGAAACTGGGAGACAGGAGCTGTGTGCCTAGAGCCTGTATTCCTTGGGGCTTGTATCTGCTGGGTTGGTGTCTCAAAAAAGCTGTCCTGGCCTTCACTTTGTTTTAAAAGGAGGGAGTAATTGCTCCTTTACTATTGTGGAGGGGGCACAACAAGGTGGCAGACACACCTGTGGCAAGAGGTGCATTTTCAGCACATTGTCTTCCTGCAACCTTTGGTAGTGACCTGAATTTAAGATGTTGTCTAAAGTGACCACACTTAGAAGCATAATGCTAGCCTGTTGCTTGGCATGCTGTCTGTTTTGGATCCAGTTTTCGTACAACTGTATGGATTATTTGATGTATTCTACTGGATCTTGGGGCTCTTTGTAGGATCACAAACTTCCAGCTTGGGGTTGTAGATAGCATTCTATGGACCAGAACTTAACTATTAATTTTTAAGTAGCTCTAGCCATTTGGGCTGCTCTTCAAAAACGTAAATGAAGTTCAACAGCAGGTAAACTATTTATGGCATTTTTCTACAGTGTCAGATTTTTCCAAACATTATGAATTTGCTAGATATTTTTTAATTATTTATTTGCTAACCTCAAATTCCAAGGAACATTCTCATGAGCTGGGGTTGTTAATTGACACTGACTAAGAACAATGTTCTGGTAGTGGGTGTGACTTGGTGTTTTCTAAATGAGACATCTTTTGAGGTCCTCATTATGTTCCTCATGTTTAGGTTAGACCTAGGTAATTGATTTGTGATGTAGAGCTGTAGTTTAGGACCATGAGAGGAATGAGTTCCAATCCAATGCATCTTGCTCCGCACCTGCTCAATTACAGGTACCGTAGCTGAAAAAGTTATTGACGGACAAGAAATAACATAGCTGAGCCTAAGTTTATTTTTCCACTTTCTGTAGGGGGTAGTGAAGCATAAAGCAATGGAGAGGTAAACGTAGTTGTTGTATGTTTCTGTTGATAAATATTTTGTTTGAATGACAATATTTGTTTCTTTTTGCAGGTCAAAGAATTTTTGAGCACTTTATGATCCTCTTTTGAAGTGCAGGGATAGTCAAAGTCTTCCAAACATCTGTGCCATCAAAGTCTGAAGTACAGCTTCTGCTTTTATAGAAGGTCTCCAGAGAGGCAGGACTCAATTCTGTTGATTCAGTTGTGCGGAACAAATAAACTCTGTGAATAGGGAAATTGTTGAATAAATCAGTAAGTCTGCTCAGTATTATATTAAGTGTTACACAAATTCTGAAGATATTAGAATTCTGAGAGTTTCCAAACATTGTGTCTGTTTCTAATCTGATGAATAAGTTCTTCTGGAGTATTTTCTTGTATTTTTAAATTTATTTGATGCTCAGCTATTTAATTTTCAAGAAGGTAGTGATTTTTAGGTATCTTGAGTGTTTGGGGTTTTTTTAGTGGAATTGAGTTGTCATGAATGTCTGTGTTCTGAGGAAGAAAAAAGTAAAACCCATTTTTGCTCATGAGGGAATTTTAATATAACCTGGAGTTTTATATTGTAAGGTATAAAAAAAATTACTGACAATTTTGATATTTGAAATTCTTCACAGAATTGAAATAAATCCAAATATGGCTGAAATTCTGTAGATGTCAAATTAGGTTTTATCTGTTTTCATGGTGCATTGCAAACTAGGATATTAAGAGGCTTTCCATTCTCTACCATTTTGGTTTCCCAGATGTTTTTTAAAGCTGTGGATAAAACAGAGCTGGCTTTTGTTGTTGGGAAGTCCTCTGTTCCTGTAGAGAAGTATTTGCACTTGATGGGTACTGTAAAAGGAAGCAAGAAAATTTTGCAAATGGCCTCCATCTGTAAATGACATGTTTCTAAACCTTAATCACATTTTGGATGTCAGAGGTGGCTTCCTGCTTTTGTTCCAGCTTCTCCATTTCATAACTGGGATTTCTGGGTGCTTGTATTTGCAGTAGGCTGCCCTTTCTCATCCTATTGTAAGAAGGGAAAACCTTTGTGGAGTAGCTGTTGTTCTGGTGCATCTTATTAACTGAGCCACTTTGCTTCAGGTGCTGAAAATATAAACTACACAGGGTACACATCTCAAGTTCTGTGTTGTATGAGCTGCTTTCTTCTGCTTTATATATTTCTGAATGATTGCACAGTTGGCCTTTGCAAAATTGTTTTGTAAAGAATTTTATTGTCTATTGTGGTGTCTGTGTTACTTGCAAATTTGAGATGAAATTTCTTCTTTGGTGGTTAGAATTGTGCCGGAGTTCTCTAAGCATTGGCTGAAAAATAAAAGTGGTTGGAATTATTTTTAAAAATACTAAATAGTGTTGGCTCCCTTGTCTCATGAAAGAACATTGTGGATTGCTGATACGTAATACTAGTACAATGGATGAATTTAAGATTCTGTATTTTCAGTGTAGTTCTGAGACTTCTGAAACACTGACTGGCTCCAGATTTTTTTCATGTGTGGGAAAAGAAGTTATGGAATAGAGACATGGGATTATAAAAAAAGTATCATATAATTTACTGATCAACAGAGTAGTGTTTTCTATAATACTTATAGTGGAATGCAGCAATAATATGGTGAAAAAATCTTGTTTTGGCCTAGTAAAAGGAAAGTTTTTAAGATCTTTGCTCCAGAAATTAATTGAGGTGGAATGGATGAAACTTCAGATTTTCTTGAAACGCATAGTAGAAGCCTTTAAAACATTCTTGGCAACAGTCTGAACAGTAACAACTTATTTTGACTAACAGTGTAATTATTCCTACAGTTTCAGCTGTCAAAATTGTGGATTTAATTACAGGAATTGGAATGACAGTGCTCATTGCAAGGAGTAAACAAGTCTGAGTTCTAATAAAGACTTCTTTTTAAACCCATCACAGACCATACAGAAATTCTGTGGCAGGTTATCTGCATCCTGTTCCAGGCAGCTTTACAAAAACTCTGACTGCCAAGTTTGGGTTTGAAGGAGCAATGTCATGACCGATTATTAGAATGTTTTTAATTGCTGTGGAGAAAGAAAACAACAAACCAACAACAACCACAAAACAGACACCCCACCTGCCCCCCAGCTTCTGGGGCACTGAAAGTAGCTGGGCTGAGGTAGGTGAAGCTGCAGTTCTACAAGCTGCACATGTAGGATAGGCACAGCGTAAACAGAAGAGAGATGTCCTGAGACTGTTCTGCCTGTGGGTCATCTTGAACCTCCCAGCTCTAACAACACCTTCGACCTGCAACTTTGTCAGTATTCTTTTCTTCGCTTAAATCTGTTGCCAGGCTGCCACAAAACAGGAGTTCTGAGTTGGGGTTCTCTTGCCTATCAGAGAGACAAAAGGTTTCCGAACTGGTATCTACTCTTTGGTGATGATGTGTTTTCAGTCCTTGAGTGCTGTGTCTCTTTCTCTTCCCTTGGGTAAGAGATACTGTGATGGAACTGGCTAGAAATGAGTGCTTGTTTTAGTCAAGTGTCATCACAAGTGGGAGACAATCAGTGTGGGTATTTTAAATGTTCTCCAGATACAAATATTGATTGATAGTCTCATTGCTGTGCAAATACACTTATGAGCAGTGGACGTAATATTGCCATATTTTATTTTCAATCCTTATAGTTGTTTCCTTTATAATGAATTTTACATTCCTTAATAGAAATGCTTCTTAGAACAGCAACCGATTTTGTACATAGAAGTTAATATTTTGTAACTTTATGCCAGTTACCTATTTCTACTGTGTTCTGTTTATTTAAGCAGACTTCATAACAATGGAATTGTATATAAAATGTGATTAGTTAATGTATTAGTATGTTAGTCTGTTCTTTTTTCAGTAGTTAAAGACTCCAGGAACCTGTGAAATAAAAATGACACAGGAGAAATTCACCATAAGCTGTTAAGTGTAGACCAGGAAAGAATGTATGTAGCAATAATTAATTTATGTCTTAGGAAAAGACAGTGTGCAATTGCCATTGCCGAGAGGTCTCAGCTTAGCTAGGTGTTGTGACCCCAAGGCTGTCTTCCCAGTTCCTGTTTAGTCTCATTGCATGGTGGTCAGTAAATCAGTCTTTGCCTCAGTCTTTTTAAAATAGTGCTAGCTCTCTGTCTTCAGAAGGCTGGGAGGCTTAGTTCATATTGATGGGCAGTTTTGTTGGTCTGAAAAGTGCTCTATTAAATAATTGAGAGTGAAGGCAGCCCTGGCTTTAGCTTTTTCATTGGAATGTTTTGATGTCCTTATGAAAGGGGTCACTGGTACAGATTCATGGCCAGTAGAAATTATTTGTTTTAAAAGAGATTAAAAGCCACCAGTGCAAGGTCAGTTGTGTTGAAGACAGTTCACTGAAAAAATAGCCACTGAAAACTGTCACCATTCAGGAGGAAAGGAAACTTAGTACAGATTTCATCCTGAAATAAAAATTGATGGCAACAACTGTGCTGTGGTCCCAGTAGCTGGTGGCAACGAATAGCTAGGCCCCGAATCTGCCACACGAGGTCATCGTGTCCTCAGTTCTCACCGAGCTGGCTAGGAGAGGAGCATTCGTGTTTTAATGGTGAATGGCTTCGGAAAAGGGAAAGAAGGAAAAGGTCTCTTGCTCTCTTTGCCAGAGCAAATGCATTAAACTGATTAATAATTATTCTACTGAATGAGGTAAATCTTGATCGGGAGGGAGGGCAATGAAGCATGTTCCCATTGGATTAAATAAAAGACTAGAAAAGCTGAGCTATGGGGAGGGGTTTTGACACCAGAGGGTCTTGCCTGCAGCTGCCAGCTGTTTGTGTCTGTGAGGGAGCGTTAGCACATGGATAGCACTAATCCCCAAGTGTAAAGAGCTGGCGACAACAGTCTTCTTGTGCTGAGCCATCGGGCCTGGATGCAGACAGGGAGCAGCACTAATGCTGACAGCGTGCTGGGAAAATACAGCAATGATGAATTCTACTAACTGTAGGCAGGCTATTCTACTAACTGTGAAGTCATGCTTTATGTGCCAAATATAAGCCTGGATCCTCTGAAATTCTGGCTAGAATTCAGTAGAGACAAGGAGTGTGGATTCAACAATGGGAGTAAGTGGTATTCAGTGGGGGTGTAAAATCAGTGTAATGTGAAGATCCTAAAAGTCTAGGCTCTCATGTTGGGCAGAAGCAGCAGCCTGGAAAAGACACAGCACAAGGGAGATGTCATAGCGGCCTTCTAGAACCTGAATGGGCTACAGCAAATCTGGGGAGGGACTATTTATAGAGGCTTGTAGTGGGAGGACACGGGGGAATGGATTAAAACTGGAAGACGGGAGAGTTAGGTTAGACATTATGAAGAAATTTAGTGTGAGAGTGGTGAGACACTGGCACAGGTTGCCCAGGGAAGTTGTGGAAGCCCCATCTCTGGAAGTGTTCAAGTCTGGGTTGGCTGAGACTGTGTGCAACCTTGTCTAGTGGGAGGTGTCCCTGATCATGCAGGGAATTAGAACTAGATGATCTTTAAGGTCCCTTCCAACCCAAACCATTCTATGGTTCTATGACTTCTTTTTCTTAGATCTAGGTTTCAATCCATGGGTATAAATAATATGACAGTGCCTTAAATAAGGCATGCTCGATTAGAATGTACGCTAATGCCCATTTCATGGATTTCTGCTGACTGCTCTTCCAGTGTCTTAGGCTGTACATTGGAGATGTTTATCTCCAGAACGTTAAGGTAGTCCAGCTTGCACCGTCTATTTGATGGCTAATAGTATTGGCCAACTTAGAAAAAGGCACGTGGCTCCAGAGAAGTTATTTACAGAGGTTTGTGCTTTTTCCAGACTTTTCTGTCTTGTGGTTTTTTGCTTTCCTCTCCAATTTCCATGTAAGTTGTTGTAACTTGTCTTTTACTAACTATGGAAACCACGATCTTATACAAGTAGTAACAGACTCATTAAAGCCAGAATTTCACTAGTGTGCAGCCTGCATGAGGATGTGTCTTCTGCCTTTATTCCAGTTCAGTATCTTAGATTTTCTAATCCTCTTTTCAAGCAGTTCTCCTGTGTTAGCCCACCTGATTGCTGGGGCTTTTCCTAATTCTGCCTGGCTTCAGCACTGTCACTGGATGTGTAATGACAGTGCACGTTTTGCGTTCAGCTTTGCCTCTGCTGGTTGCTTAAAAGTGGTAGATTGTTATTGCTCTCTGCTAAGTTTCCACCCTGTTTTTGGCTTTGTCCCCTCTGTGGGGCTGGCTCACGGCCTTTGCCTTGGCGCTCTTGGCTGTGTCCCGTGGCCTCAGGTCACTGACTGTTTTGTTGCAGCAGACTGCTGATCTGGGCTGACTGCCTGT